TCCTCCTCCTCCTCCTCCTCCTCCTCCTCCTCCTCCTCCTCCTCCTCCTCCTCCTCGCCATTGTCCATCCACTGCAGGATGAAGGCCTCTTCCGCCTGTTTCCAGCCCCTACGGTCCTGGGCTCCCCTTGGCCAGTTGGGCCCGTCATACTTGGCTGATGTGGTCGCTCCATCTTGCTTAAGGTCTCTTTCGTGGAGGCTTTTGATCAAATGGGATCTGTTCCAGGACCGCCTCGGTTCTCCTGCTGTGTGACCAGCCCGTTTCCATTTCCATTCTGGATGGCATCGCGCCCTTTTTCCCCTGTTCTCCAGCCCACGTGCAGGTCTTTCCCTCTCGCCTCGCGATGCCGAGGGCGTCTCTTTCCATGTTTCTTTGCGCCCCTCGTAGCGTTTGTACCGATTGTGAGGTTCGTGTGTCCACGGCAAGTGTTAGAGCGGGCAGCACACACTGATGGAAAAGTTTTCTCTTTCGGCGTGGGGGGCGGCTGTTCTTGAAAATTACGGCTCGCGGGCCAAATGCCTGCCAACCACATTTAACAGGCCGTTCAATTTCCTTTATTCTATCACCTTCCATTGAGATCCGTTGGCCAAGGTCAGGGATAGGCAACCTCGGTTCTTTTATGACTCATGGACTTCAACTCCCAGAATTCCTGAGTCAGCTGTGCTGACTCAGGAATTCTGGGAGTTGAAATCCATGAGTCATAAAAGAGCCGAGGTTGCCTACCCTTGGCCAAGATAGAACAGAATAACAGTTGGAAGGGACCTTGGAGGTCTTCTAGTCCAGCTCCCTGCTCAGGCAGGAGATCCTATAGCATCTCAGACCAATGGCTGTCCAGCCTCTTCTTAAAAACTTCCAGTTTGGGAGCACTCACAACTTCTGGGGGCAGGTGGTTCCACTGGTTAATTGTCCTCAACTGCCAGGAAATGCCTCCTTAGTTCCAGGTTGCTTCTCTCCTTGAATTAGTTTCCACCCGTTGCTTCTTCTCCTGCCTTCAGGGGCCTTGGAGGATAAGGATACAGAGTGGTCTACTACATTTAGTAAACCTGACATACGTTTCTATAGAAACAGGACGAAACATCTGGCTTTTATTATGACTAATTGTTAGGTGTTTGTCTTTTGTGTGGCAATTTGCACAGCGGGGCACATACGTTCTGCTGATTATCCCTTGGGGGCGGGGGGGGGGGTTGGTTAGCCAGGCCCTGGGGCTTGCTTCTTGCTAAAATCTGAAGCCTGATTCTTGTGAAGCAATGTCCTTCCCCTCGTCCAGCAGCCGTATTTTAAAATTGCAAACTCAGTAAAGAACCGAAGAAGCTCCTTAGGTGAGAAGCGAAATGTTTTCAAGGAAAAAAAAAACAAGAAAATGCAGTTGTCTTTTGGAAAAAGCACCTTTGGGAATTGCTATAGAAATGGGAAAATAAGTGGTGGTCATCAATATTGGTTAAATTTCCAGGAAAGCTTACTCTTAATCCGCTAGGGGGCATAAGATGTCAACAATACGGCTGTTTTGGGTATCAGAAATCAAGACTTTTTTTTCCTGCCTTCTTTCAATTTTCATTGTCATTTTTTTTTTGGGGGGGGGAGAAATAACTTCCACCATCATTAATAGTTTTTCCTTTGAACCAAGCTCCAAACTTGCTTTCATCGCTCAAAGACCCTTCTCATAATCACAGAATAACAGAGCTGGAAGGGACCTTGGAGGTCTTCTAGTCCAACCCCTTCCAAATCAAGGAGAGGAGAGGTTGTATTCTGTCTGGGTTGCCGTGTGATGATCATCTCCAGAAACAGCAGATTTTGGATGGCTTGATTTGGTCTTCCTTAGTCTCTGCTGACATTTGGAACTTCAACAACATCACAATACTTCTGTTTTTCTGTTTATATAATCACATAACTCTTTTTTTTTTTTAAAAAAAGAGTTTTATTCTGGAGGACTCCAGATAGCGAATCTAATAACCGAGGAAAGGAACATTTCTGGAAATGAATCACTTCAAACACCTCTTGATTGAAATTAGCTTGTACTGGGGGTCCTCAAATCAGCGACCATTCAAAGTTACAACGGCCCTGAAAAAAGGGACTTATAACCATTTTTCACACTTACGGCCGTAGCAGCGTCCCCCCCCCAGGGTCACGTGATCAAAATTCAAATGCTTGGCAACTGACTCACACTTACGACAGTCACAGTGTCCCCGGGTCACGTGATCCCCTGTTGCGACCTGACAAACAAAGTCAATGGGGGAATCCAGATTCATTTAATGACCGTGTTACTAATTTAACAACTGCAGCGATTCACTTAACAACTCTGGCAGGAAACGTCGCAAAACGGGGCGATGCTCGCTTCACAAATGTCTCGCTTAGTGATATAAATTTTGGCTCAGTTGTGTTCATAAGTCAAGGACTCCCTGCAGATAAATTAAGATGTCTTTTGGGGGCCACTAAACTCAGCCATTTATTAGATACTACTACTACTACTACTATGACTACGACTACGACTATGACTACAAATAATAATAATAATAATAATAATAATAATAATAATAATAATAATAATTGCCAGTCAATTTGAATGTTCAGTTGACTGAGGTTCATGTCTAATGAATAAAAGATAATAATGATAATAATGATAACATTATTATTATTATTATTATTATTATACTATACTATTATACTACTACTACTACTTCATAATAATAATGATAATAATGATATTATTATTATTATTATTATTATTATTATTATTATGAAGTAGTAGTAGTAGTAGTAGTAGTAGTAGTAGTAGTAGTAGTAGTAGTAGTAGTAGTAGTAGTAGTTGGAAGGGATCTTGGAGGTCATCTAGTCCAACCCCCTGCTCAGGCAGGAAACCCTATACCATCTCATACAAATGACTATCCAGTCTTTTCTTAAAAACCTCCATTGTTGGTTCATGTCTAATGAATAAAAGATTGATGATGATGATGATGATGATGATGATGATGATAATGGCTATCCAGTCTCTTCTTGAAAACCTCCAGTGTTGGATGGAGCATCCACAACTTCTGGAGGCAGGTTGTTCCACTGGTTAAATGTTTTCACTGTTAGGAAGTTTCTCCTTAATTCCAGAGCGGGGCGTCACGAGCACACAGAGGAATTTATGTCGGTCTTTATTGTTGCATTTTTGTCCTCTCTTAGGTTTTCTTCTCAGCATCGTTTCTGGGCACCGAGCGAAGTCGATGAAGAAGTAGAAAACAAAGAGCTCTCGGAGATGCTCAAAAGTCGGTACATCACCTACGCTGGCAAATTTGAACCCGTGACACACAAGTGCCGGGCCCCGATGCCCAACGGAAGCCTTTGCGAAAGGCAGGATAGGTTTAAGGTGGGTGTGCAGGAGTCAGCGAGCTCTGTTGTGTCAGGCTGATCACCTGATCCTCACTAACTTGCCCAGAATTTTGCTTTTGTAAGCCAAGGAAATTTGGGACCGTGAAGTTTTTTTTTTTGGGGGGGGGGGGGAAATCTAGCCTACTTCAGAGGTTGTTAAGTGGATGAAAAAATTGCAACGCAAGACGTCAGGGAAAGACATCAGCCCCCCTTTTTCACCTTTCGTCCTTCAAAGAGGCACTTCTTTGAAATATTTATTGCAGGGGTCTTCCAACTTGGCCCTTTGATGACTTGTGGACTTCAACTCCCAGAATCCCTCAGCCAGGCACGCGGGCTGAGGAATTCTGGGAGTTGAAGTCCACACCTCTTAAAATGGCCGAGGTTGAGAAACATCGGTTTAGCTCTTTCTGAGTTAGCATTATTTCTCCCTCACATTATGTCAGGGGTCTTCCAAGTTGGCCCTTTGATGACTTGTGGACTTCAACTCCCAGAATCCCTCAGCCAGGCACGCGGGCTGAGGAATTCTGGGAGTTGAAGTCCACACCTCTTAAAATGGCCGAGGTTGAGAAACATCGGTTTAGCTCTTTCTGAGTTAGCATTATTTCTCCCTCACATTATGTCAGGGGTCTTCCAACTTGGCCCTTTGATGACTTG